CCTCTGAAGTAACATCTTCGAACCGAATTGCGTAACCAACTTCTTCACCAAGTCTACATCCAAACTCCTCGCTCACACGTTTAGCAACAGACATGGCTGCCACTCGCCGTGGTTGAGTGCAACCTATCATACCGTAATTCGTGTAGCCATCTTCATGCATATACTGCAAAGTTGGAAATATGGGGCAAGTGAATTATGCAGACATACAATGTATTGTAGGATACTTCTTATAGGCGCTCACCCTTGGAGTTCGTGTTGCCTGTGTTTATAAAGAATCATAGGGCTTCATTCATTCATTCATTCATTCATTCATTCATTCATTCATTCATCACACAACCTTTGAACTTACAGAATTCTTTCTCACCTGAGTGAGTTGTGTTGTTTTTCCGGATCCAGTTTCACCCACTACAATGATAACCTGATTATCCCTAACAATGTTTAGCAGCTGGAATTAAACGAAAGAAGAGGCATTAAATTAGTTAGCAAGCCTTTTATAACGTGAAGACAAGAGTAGAAAAACTGAAAAATCATGCAAAAAGCGTATCATACCTCCTCTCTTATCGCAAATATGGGCAAATATTGCCTTTGTTCTCTGATCGTTTTCTTAGCAGCAAACTCACTGCTCGCCTCAGTCTTGTCCTTCATGTGCTCAGCAAACTTTTGGTTGTCTTTATAATCTTCTTCACCTCCTTTATCATCCTTAAACAACAAGCAAAAACCAAAAGGTCATTTGGGTGTAAGACGTTCCCACCATCTACTGCAATTTACGTGACTGCAAAAGATCACTATATAGAATTAGCCTGCTTATACTACTACATCAGAAATTTCTGCAATTTGATTGGCTTAGAGCAGTGGTATTTCAGCTTAATTTGAAATACCTACATATGAAAATTACAAACCTTTTGTGGGTAGTAGTATAAACAAATAATAGCATGATTTGTACGTGATATTTGGCATAAATACCACTTGTGATATTTCAAAATTGTCTCAAATTTCACTCGCCTAACGGCTCGTGAAATTACGTGTAACAATTTCTAAATATCACTCCTGGTATTTATGCCAAATATCACTACAAATCATGCTATTACCTATACAAATACAGCCATCTCTCCTCACCCCTAGCCCACACTAAAAGATTTTTATATTCAATGGCTTCCAGTAGCTTACTCAGCATTGGCCGGCAAGAGGCTATAGTCAAGGAATAATACGTTAAGATTTTAAAATAAAAATATGGGGAACACCATAAAGCCAGTCTCTGGTTTATAAGTTAGATTACAAATGTTTAACACATTTACTGAATGATGCAACCACTTGAAAAATGCCTCTGTAGGCAAGGACCATTGCTATGGAGTTGATTATTCTAAATGTTGAGTTCTGTACCATAGCCACAAAAAGTGTGGGCTGGCCAAGGCAAAACTGTCAAAATATACTGTGTATCCTAGCTTTAGCTTACTCATGCAATGGAAGTTAAGGTACCTCCTCTTGTTCTTTTTTCACTCCCAAAATGTTCCCCAGTTTAGTTCCAGCAAGTTCCCAATCCTTGTGCTGAGCTTTTTGTCGTTCTTTCTGCTCTCTGTGCAGGCGTACAACATGGCAGCCTTTTCTAGAAATCATGGCCATGTCAGAGGTGGAATCCTACAATTAAGTGAGGGTGTACACATTTGATCAGTTACACTGTGCATGTAACTCTGTACAAATGTATCATTGTAACTTTCAATCAAACATGCAAACAATAAAAATTAATCACTTGTTATTGAGGTGCAAGGGTGGCGCAGTGGTGAGAGCTCTCGCCTCCCACCAATGTGGCCTGGGTTCGAATCCTGGCCTCAATGCCATATGTGGGTTGAGTTTGTTGTTGGTTCTCTCCCTTGCTTCAAGAGGTTTTTCTCCGGGTACTCTGGTTTTCCTCTCTCCTTAAAAACTAATGCTCTCAAATTCCAGTTCGATCTTTCAGCAAGTTCTTATGAACTTCTTAGTGCTCCGTGGGTAAACAAATTACAATTCACAATTTTTTTTTTTGCTCCTTAGGTTGCTATTAAAATAATTTAACACCCAATGGTTAAAAGGTATCATTAACAGGAGAATATCAATACCTTCATTTGACACTAAGACCAGGTTAGTTTTGTTTGCTTAGAATCTGATAATTCATCACCCTACTCCTGGAGATAATGCCTAGGAGGCCGCATGCATGGCCAATCAGTTGGAGCATTGGCCTTGAAATCTGAAGGCCCCAAGATGAAATCCCACCCTGACCCTAGGAGTATTTGAGGAAGTCTTGGTAGTCCCGAGATCAACTCCTCCACCACACTCATAAAATTAATAGTAACTGGGTTATTTCAATACCTTAACTGGAATAACAGGTTCTGGTTGTTTTGTGAAGACAATTCGTCCATCCAGGAAGGGTGGAACAATGTTGTGGACCAACAAATGGACTTTGGCTTCTTGGTCATCTTCAAAATCATCATCAACCTCTAATTTTTGTACTACACCACTTGTTAACATTCTGTTAGTCTCCCACAAGTCATTATCCTGAAGAAAAAAAAAATCCAAGTTAGATTAACTTCAACCCATAATGGTCAAAACATCAAGTTGAACTACAACATAGACATCAGGGACCTCATAACTGGATAACGAAGTACATTGACCATGTGAACCTTCTGTGTTGTTGTAATAAAACATCAATAATAATACTAATAATAACAATAATAATAATAATAATAATAATAATAATAATAATAATAAAACAATGACCATGAAAACAAGTGTTCAATTGAAATTATTTGATACTAGTTACTTTTTGTGTATATACCTTATTGATCTGACGCTGCTGAGCAGACATTCTTTTGACTGCTTTCTTTGCCATGTTTTCTTCCTTCTTTTTAGTGTACTCTTCACTAACATCAGCAAATGGATTGTGAGTCTCATCGTAACCAGAATCCATGTCATACCAGGCACGGTCAAGTCTCTGTTAAAATGTAAACACAATTACAGTGATAGTCAGTAAATTTAAAGAGACTCCATTATATAATTACATCATTGTATATCTTATAGGAATCTAAGATTCTCGACAATAGGCTCAATTATGGAAGATTAGCTGAATAGCACTAATATAAATTAATATTATTATTATTATTATTATTATTATTATTATCATTATTAATATTATATTGACTACGTAATGTTTAAAACAATTTTATACATCCACCTTTCATAATGATATGACTGGACTATGGCTAAAATGCCAAGCTTTTCAATTTAATGCCAAGTTAAAAACTTGATTTTGGGCAAGTAATAATTACCTTTTGTTCTTCTTCCCACTCTTCCCTGTCAATATCTGATGGAAATTGTGATTCATGCCTAACATCAGATCCTAAAAAAAACATAGATGGCATGTACATTTTTAGCTGTGTTGAATGTGATCATAATTTCTTATTACAATTGACCAATTGTTGCCAACCTAGCCCTAAAGAACCTGGGCCGAGTAGTTCAAAGCTAGCTTAAGATTACCCAGGGTTAGTGCCAGGATTAAATTCATATTTGAAAGCTTAAAAAGCATTTCAGTTTTAATTCTTTTTGTCCACAAAATGATGATTGGAAGCTCTAAAAATAACAGAGAAAATTTTCTGAGAAAATGCTTTTGAACACAAGAAAAAGAAACCTGGGTTAAATTTAACCCTGGGTTAAGCACCAATTGGCCTTCGAACAACTGGGCCTGGGCCCAGAATACAACCCATCATAAAATACCCTTACCTTCCCTACAGGAGACTGACTTTGGGCGAACTGCCTCTCAGGAAGTCTATCTCTTATATGCAGTAGGTGACAGTCTGTACTTAAACCAAAAATTGTTTTGCATTTCATTCCCACAGGAGGTTGCAGCATTGAACACAATATACATAATTTCATCATTTTTGAGAACTTTCTGTATGTAAAATGGTGTAAGATACCAGTCAAGTTCTTACGTTTTCCTTTGGAGAATCTTGGTGTTGCTCCAGTACTACGGCGATCATCTTCCCAAACATTGTATTTATGTGTGGGAGTAAAACGAGGTGTATCATCAACTCTGAGATGTGATCTACAAATGGAGAACAACAGTTATCAAGCACAATATATTTAACGACAATTTAGTTTGCTGACTTTGTTAATAAATACAAATACAAATTACTAGATTTGCCTAAGCTGTAGTTGTCCAAGTGAAGGGCTATGATGAATTAGCTCATCTTGCTATAATGGTCACTCAATGCAGTTTTGGCTTTACACTGACTCACCTTCTTTCACTCCTTACATCTTCACTAACAGATCTGGCGGGCGATGGCATTTCCCATTTTGACCTGCTGGGTGTCGACTCCTCATCATCCCAACTACTCCGTGAAGGTGTTCTAATATCTAACAGAAGTATCATTCAGGTTAATAACTGCCTGGTCAGTTTAAAGCAATTACTAAAAATAGGTCCATATGTGGATACATGATCATTACATTTATTTTAAGTCCACTTTGTCACAACATATCCACATATCCACCTATCGAGTTGATAAAAAACCTTTAAATCAATTATTAGTCACTGCAAATCCACTTAGAACAGCATATAAAGCACATAATTATTAGGTTTATAGAATGAATGCATATCCACATACAAAGCTTTTTCGGCTAAATATATTGTATTTAACATCCATACCCCTGGTTGAGGACTTATCTTTTCTTCTTACCCCTGAAGATTGAATAAAATTCTATTCACCCCTAGAGACTTCTGTCAAATACGGGTCTACCTCTTGAAGGATATGGGTCTACCCTTGAAGAATTTCATGGAAATTAAAGCTGTCCATGTTTTTTTACTCTACCCTCAAAGAAATCCTCAATTTTTACAACAAGTCATACCCATGAGGAATTCCATTCGTCCCCAACAGGGGGATACAGATATTAAATGAAACAGCCTTTTATGGGATGAAGCTTGGAAGTGACAGCATATGCTGCAGATGAGGCTAGATATAGGATAATCATACCCTTAGACTTGTGTCTTGGAGTGTAACCTTCATCTCTTGTAGACTTACTACTCCTGTATGGCGTTTCTTCCCATTCACTTCGGCGAGATCTTGGCTCCCTAAACTCATCCCTTTTATCTCCATTATAGTTTTGAGATCTACGGCTACTACGCTCTCCTTTTTCATATTTTCGTCTTTCCCGATCACCATAAGTGTCATTTCGGTGTCTATAGCCATCTCGATAAGCGTCCTTTCTCTCTTTGACCCTTGACTCAGCATACACTCCTGCTCTCCTCGTTTCTCTATCCCTTTCTAATCTTCTCAATTGTTTTTCCCTTATTTCTTCATTAACACCACCTGTATGTGAAGGTGTTTCCACTAAACTAGATCTGTAGTGGCGAGATTTCGACTTTAACTCTCCACTTCCCGAACTAACTTTCCAACGACCTTTCAAATCATCGCTTCCATCTTCCCATTCATCTGCTCCACAATTTGATGATCCATCTTTCAATCGTTTCGTTTTTTCATAGTCTTCTTCAATCTTTCGCTTCCTTTTCTCTTCAGCGAGCTTTTGCAGACCAAGGACGCTTTCCTTGGGTGATTGATTCGTTTTCTTGTTGTTCCCTTGTTTTAAGATCAAGCCTCCGACCACAGAACGAGTTCCTTCTAGTCTATCAGAAGACTTTTCGTCAAATCCTACGCTGGACATCACGTCGAAATTCTGTTACCTGAAGTTTCATCAACTTGATGATTCCATGGAAGAGAATCGAAGATTTTTTCATACGCCGTGACGGTCCGCCATTTTGCAATCTCGTAACTCAGAGCCTTCTTTTTTTGGTCAGCGGGCCTACGATCCAACCTGGACTCGTCCCCAGGGTCTTCTCATTTTCCAGTATCATCATCATCCGTCGTTATCCATCCCATCCATCATGCATCACGGCGCTCGTAGGGCAAAAAACAGTAAGAAACCCGGGGTAGTCAATCGATAAAAATCGGTATCGACAAAAATCGATAGCAATCAAGTGATTTTTATCGATTGATCACGGAAATCGGCGAAAATCGATAAACTAAAGTGCTGTGTCGATTTTATTATCGATTTTTCTTGATTTTAAGGATTTATAAGGGATTTGAATCCGATCAGAGACGGTTAACATAATTTGCTGCTTATCAAATGCGTTTGCTTGTCTGGCGCGTCAAGACGCTCAAGCTTCGTCTCACGTTTCTAACTTTCCTGTTGTGACCGTTAAATTGAAACCTGTTATCATCTCCCAAGGAGATCGACAACATGACAATATTTAGCCTGCGAACCGCAGACGCATTTCCGGTCGTCGCTTCTCTCCCTCCGAAAAATAGCGTCTGCGAACCCGAGCGGCAAAACGATTTCCGTGACGTAAAACCTCTTGTTTTGATGTAGGCCAATCAGATCAAAGGATAGAATACAGCTCGAGTGACTCCTCGCGACCTCGCGCGCTGAAGTGTCTTGGATTTTGGAGAGAATTACCAAATACGCTTTGGAACGTGAATTTCACGACCATAACAAGGTTTCCTGCGACGTTGAATGCTGACTTCTTTATGAAGCAACTGCTTCTTAAATTAAGCTATGTATCTGATGTGGGCCTTTGGTTTCGCATTATAAAATACGGTAGTACGTGACATAAACAAAACCTGGACAAAATAATCGCTACAGCGAAAGGAAAGCAACATAGCTTAATGACATCGCGCTCAGACTTATTTATTTCAATTTAACCAGCGCTGACAAAAGGTGGTGAATCAATTATACAGGCACATCCTTGACTGATTCAGAAATCTCTAACAATCGCTCGTTAATAATTCTAGTATAGCCACAACACAATGATCTGAAATATTATAAACCTGGGCCAGACCCAGCATGAAATAAATAGTTACAGCACTAAATAGATCATAGTCAAAATGACATTTCAGCTGCGACGCTTCTACACATCTCATAAAAAACTATGGAAATGAGAACCTTGAAAAGAACATGTATTTAAAGAAATATACCGGAACAAATATAAAATGCTTTCGATCTGATCAAAGTTCTATCTGAACCAAGAAGCAACCACGCATGGGAAATCAATTACCACATGTCCTGCCTTTCAAAGATAAAGGATATCTACTAAAAAATATCTAAAACGGCACACGACAAACTATCGAAGAGTTCTCCAAGGTATACTTTCCTGCCAGGAACCAGAAAGGAACAGAAGCAACAAATGGCATGATGCGTCTACTGTCATTAGGACAGTTATCGTTTCAAATATGATCAAAACAACTAAGTCTGATAAATCATTGACTCCGTAGGCAAATAGATGAAAAATGTCCTCTAATCTTTTCTTCGATATGAATCCTCTTGATACTTATTTCATCTTTCAGTCCCACAATCCTGCCAAATTAACTTTCGTAAACGCGTCGTTCTGATAAAAAAAGGACGGCTATACACAAGCCACGTCGTCCTTTCAATTTCGACTTGAAAACATATCCATCGCGCACGATCCTGCGAGAAGTCTCGCGAGTTAGTTCCTTGATTTTAAGAGCTAAACCGTGATCGGCTAAAAAGGTTTTACGTCACGGAAATCGTTTTGTCGCTCGGGTTCGCAGACGCTATTTTTCGGAGGGAGAGAAGCGACGACCGGAAATGCGTCTGCGGTTCGCAGGCTAGACAATATTGGAAACTTGAGACGAAATTTGAGCGTCTTATTTACGACGCGCAAGACAAACAAACGCATTTGATAACCAGCAAATTATGTTAACTGTCTCTGATCGGATTCAAATCCCTTCCAAAACGACTCATAAAGACACAGGAACAAAGGTAAATACATATTATTATTTTATTAGCTAATACAGCGTAAATACAACTAATTTTTCTATTAGCTAATACAGCGTTCGGGTTCCTTGTGAATTGTTGTTTGATGGTATGAGTTAGATAGCCTGCGTAGCAGGCGCTTGGAAGTAGTGGGCACAAGAAGGAGACACGCGTGTCTCCCTCGCGCGCGCCCGTTCTCTCTTTCGCCCCCTAGGGAGCTTTAGCATCGACAACGGCAACGGCAGCGAAAACGTCAGTTTTAAAACGAATTCCCGCTTTTTCAATCTTTGTCGCGTTTATTCCAATTTGCTGAAAATGGCAAGTGTAGGCGAATTTCCCTGGAGTTGATTTCTTGAGGACCGCACTCAAGTTTAGAGAGAGAAAAAGAGATTCGTCGTCGCTTCTTTACGTCCTCCATAGAACTTGCAATTAGGCATTTTTACGTCGTAGTCGTGCAAGGACGGTAAGGAAATGTACAAAAAAGCGTGATGCACGTGCAAAGTGTTGTTTTGCTAATATAAACCTATTGCTTTTTTGACGTCCTCGATGCCGTCGCCGTCGTCGTTGCTAAAGCTCCCTAGTTACCTCCAAGCGACTGCTACGCAGGCTATGAGTTAGATAGTACAGTGGATAGTACAGCTGAGAAAACGCATCCACGAGTAACAACTGATCAACAAACGTGAAAAAGTGAAATATGGTAACTATTACAGACGCAATTTTTTTCTCTAGAACGCTTTATTTTGTACATAACAAAAACGGTTCAGTTACATTCAGTTCTCGCAAGCAAGGATCACGTGGAATACAACCGTTAGATAAAGATTTCCTAGTCTAAGGGCACTTTCCATTTGCCAGAACTGACCGGCCAGACCATTCCCGTAGTAATGAGAATTTCACTTTTAATCAAAACTATCCAACCAGATCAGTCAAATCCTAAATGGTATGCACGAAGGAGATAGCAGTTTTTCAGCAAAACCCTCTGGAAAAAGCTCATTTCATTTGCTAACTGATTGGTCCGGCCGGCTAGTTCTGACAAATGGAAAGCGCCCTAAATTTCAGACATTCCTCCGAGTCGGGATTCAGGCAAATCCCTTGAGAGATTCCACTTCACGTTCCGTTATCAACCGATAAAAATCACTTGATTGCTAACGATTTTTTATCGATTAGGATTTTTATCTATCGACTACTCCGGGATGTAACTTATATACAACTCGATCGACCCGAACTACACCGACGTTATTCTGAAAGTGGGGGAGATCTAAATCCTAAAAACCTGGGCGCCTATTAACCTGGCCAATATCAGCACCGTAATTTTTAGGGAGTTATTATAACTCCAAAAATGGAGTAAAAATTTTAGGTACAGGATAACCCCTTTTTGGGGTTATTTTAACTCTAATTTAATTCCGAATTTGGGGTCATTTTTACTCCTGAAAAGAGTTCTTTTTACTCCCAGTCTGGAGTTAAAATTAGTCCGAAATGGGGTTACTTGTACTCCTTACATGGGTTGTTTTTTACTCTTTTGGAGTTAATTTAACTCTGAAAGTGGAGTAAAAATTTTAGGTACAGGATAACTCCTTTTTTGGGGTTATTTTAACTCCTCGATATCTGGGGTCACTTTTACTCCTGAAAAAGAGTTCTTTAAACTCCTTTTTGGAGTTAAAGTAACTCCACGAAAAATAACTCCACTGTAAGGAGTTAAATTAGCCCCACTAGAGGAGTTATTATAACTCCCTGAAAATTACAGTGAGCCATCAGAAGAAGATTTTAAAACTGGTTTTAAAGAAAAGAGAAGATTTTTTTAAAGATTTATTTAAAAGCGACAAATCTTTGATAAACAATACGGTGATAAATGTTTCATCCTTCCACTGTTAATGCAATTTCAACTCAATTCTCAATAAATTTGCTCTTTGCATGAAGTCAGTTTTCATTTTTTGATGAACAGATGAACAGATTTATCTTCCGATATGAAATCAATGAAATCGGTAAAAATCAAGATAAATCGATTAAAAAAACGAGTGTGTCATCGATTTCTACCAATTGATCGATACAATCGATATTAATCAATTCAGATTTACCGATTTTTATCGATTTATCGATTGACAAATTGATACGCTGAATAAACAGTGCAATTTACAATTGGATACTAATAATTAAGTCTGTTTACAATAAGTATATAAGTAATATATAGATTTAGCAAGGGCTAAAAGCGAAGCTCTGGTTAATAATACGTGTAAACAAACAAAAATTAAATCGTGTAATGCCAAACGGGGACGACAATGAAAATGACTTCAAGACTAATAGATCTAATTAGCAAAAAAACAAATTGCACGTGCAGCACACTTCTTCTACTAGTTAGCAAAAAACAAATTTGCACGTGCCGTACGCTTTTTTGTCTTTCCCTTGCCGTTGTTTTGCACGACTACAACGGAAGGAATTTTCGTATGTGCTTACCCAATATTTTGTTTCCTGTGTTCATGTTCGCTTTTATTTTTCACTGCCGCTCATTTTCACCTTGCTGACCGCTAGCATTTCTCATTTTCTCACCCCCGCTTTGAATTTCTCAATCCATGTTTTTCTTCCTACGAAATTCCTCTCCTTTGTATTCAATAACTCGCTCTAGCTCTTTCTCTGTTATCCACGTTAGTGTAAACATAAAAAATAACGCCGAAAAAGACACGACTTTGTTGTTGTTTTTTCTTTCTAAAGTCCGGACGGCCATGTGATTTCCTTCCAAATAAAACCTTTGGTTGCATTTGGGCTGCCATACCTGTTGATTGAGTTATTTTACATTGGTATACCTGTGGACGGTCGGTGTACGGTCACGTGATTACCAATTTTCTCGGATGGGTAGATTACCACATTTTCGTAGCTATGAGGCTCCGCCGAAGCGGGGC